AAGGAGAAAACTGAACTTCGAACATTTTTTCTGAAAATTACAATGAAGTAAACTTCTCTTGTTTAATATCATTATATAAATATAACAATGACATTTTGAGAGAAGAAAAATTCTATTGAATTTCATTATTTTCATAAGAAATGTTCGATTCAGAAACATTGAAAAAGATCAATGAGTTACAGTAATAAAGAATCTTATTGGAATCTAATTTGTTCTAATTTGTTTTCAAATGAGTAAATTGAACCTCGAACATTTTTGATTGATGAGAACGAAGTAAATTTTGATAAGAAATGAAAGAAATTTAAGGTGCAACTATATTTCTGTCTACTATAAATTCAGAAATATAATTATGACAGTCAAATGCAATAGAAATTCAAGTGAATTTCATTATTGTCATCAAAAATGTTCGATTTTCAGTCCAATAAGGTCATAAAATAAACAAAAGATCAATTAGATCGAGTGATAAAAATGTGAAAGCATCTTTAAGCTCCATTGGGGGGACCTGAATTATCTCCTTTCTCCTCGTTGTTCATGTCTGGGTCAATTATGATAGCATCCTCGAGGTTTTCCTCATCCTCACGTCGAAGACGTGCTCTCCTCTCATCATCAGCCTCAAGAACACGGCTATAAACCGATTGTTTGCAACACCGAGATGGACCAGCAGGATGCAGATCCGCACCGCCAACTGGCTGGACAGGTGCCTGGGCCTCTGGATGCTGAACAGCAGGAATAATTATCTCCTCAATGATGACAGGAACAGAACGTACAGGAGCTGGTGCGAGTATTACAGGGAATGGTGCCGGTGGCAGGACATCATGAGGTGCCACCAAAGGGAGTTGAGCCTCCACTGGGACTGCTGCAATGGCAGGAACTTCGACTCGAGACACCACTGGTCCACCGTTCACTGGGGGAGTTGCCTGAGCGACGGCTGGGACTGCCCTGTTAGCATCGTCTGGCTCTGGGAGCTTCCTGAAACCCTGATGAACCTCCTGAAGTCCCAGAGACCTCTCCTCAGTGACTCTTATGTCACTCATCCTTTGAATCAGAAGAACCAATGTCTTGAACCGGTTCCTCCTAGGAGTTCCTTCGATCACGACATGTTTGCCAACATCTGGACTCAAGGCAGCATCGAAGTGAGCGACACTGACGCACAGGTGGAAATGACCGTCAGTTATAGCCCCTGATCCGTAACTGAGATTTCCCACAGCCTGGAGTTCAATCTTGTGCCTGATGTAAGCAGCAATACCTGAAGAATGAAAAAAAAAATTGAAAAATGAAGATAATTTCATTTGTTTATTTCAATTTTATCAATAGTTTTTTCTTTCAATCGATACTTACGAATCAACCCTTCGGCTGATACTGCATCTCTGAGAGCAATCTCCATTGCAGCAGGACCTGCGATGATTTCCTGTGGGATTTCCATTAGAATCTCCACTACAGTGTTACTGCCAATCGAAATTTCAATGTCCATGAGATTGTCATTGGGATTCTTATACATGGGGTTGACAGGAACAACTCTACCTCAAGTGATGCGAACAATCTGAAATCAACATATATAGCTATTATTCTTTAAATATATCTCCATTTCCTCTCCATAGAAAATTCAAATTCCCCCGTAAATTACAAATAATTTTTTATTTCCAACTTCTTTTGGAATATAGGCAGAATTATTTATGTAGAAAAAATTAACCCAATGGAGAATGGAAAAAAGAAAATATAGATACCTTTCTCGAGATTCGATTAGCCAGCCGTGTGGCTTGCTCTTGCCAAGCCAGTATTCGAACATTTCTTCCCCATCGGGGCCTCGATTGTTCAAGATAGCTCTCAGGAGAGCGTACTTAGGTGGATCTGCATTTTCACGCCTCTTTGGTGGGTCCAATCGATCAATAGCGCCTGTGAGTTCTCTGGAAAAATGAAAAAAAAAATGGGAAATTAGATTTTTAAAAATTTTAATGGGAACATATTTCGTTTCAAAGAACTGTTGATTTTTTTTTTATTAATAATTCAACGATTCAAATGATTTCTATGGGGATCACGTGGCCGCCATTGATATTGGGGCAATTAACGGCGTGGTCACCATCAATTACAAAATGAAAAAAATAATGAGGAAAATGAATGTATATTAAAAAAATACATACGCAGAATTATCTCCAGACTGGAGATTATCCATCTCCTCATTTGTGGTGAACGTAATGTCGTTGAAGTTAACGGCCATCGTGGATTACCAAACAGGACACTCACAGCACGTATGCCCTTCACGGCAGTTGGAATCGAGTGAATGTACGCCTCCCCCAATAGAACTGTCTAACAAAGGCGAGAAACTCTCATCTCCCGATATGGAGATTATGAGGTCTCACATAAAGAAAGTAGAGATCTGTGTATTACAAACAACTTATATTTATTCAGTCCAATCAATGGATAATTAATAATGAATACAAAAGATAAGACGCCACAGTAGTGGTGGGTTAGATGAGATACGATGAATAATAATAATAATTCGGATGATTTCGTGAAGCTTCGCTAGCCCGATCGCGGGACTAGTATCTTTTTGCGTCGTTGGCGCTGAGGATGAGCTCTGTCGGTAACGCTGAGTTCTGGTTGAGCCTCAGCCGCCACAACCACTCCCCCCCCCAGTGACCTGACCGGGTAAAGAAGGAAACGAAACTTTCCTTGGAGTTTTGAGTATTCTGGCGTAAGTCTTTCAGGTATAGCGATCATTGGTCTAGGTTGAGAGCTTTGGTACTGCTGCTCAAGACTAGGTTGAGGGCTTTGCTGCTGCTGTTGATGTTGCTGCTGCTGTTGCTCAAAACTAGGTTGACCGTTTTGTGCTGCTGTTGACGTTGCTGCTGTTGTCGCTGTTGCTGCTGTTGTTGCTCAGATGGTTGATCTGAGTCTGTTTTGGCGATGAATGATGGTTTGAGTCTGTCAACGGAGATGGATTTGTCGGTTCCGTTGATTTTAACGACGAAAACTCTGTCGTCAACCTTGCTGACGACTTCGTGTGGTCCGGTGTAGGGTGGATCGAGAGGTTTTTTGACTGCATCGACTCGGACGAACACGTGGTTGCATTCATAAAGATTTTTGAGGATGAAACATCGTGCTTTGGTGTGATAGGCGGTGGTGGTGGGTCTCACTCGTCTCATGTGGTCTCGAAATTTCTCCAGGAAGAAATTGGGTTCTGCTGGTAGATCTTCAGAAACGAAAAATTCACCAGGAATTCGTAGCTCAGTCCCATACAGAAGGTGTGCTGGAGAAGTTTTCAGATCTTCTTTGAAGGCAGTTCGGAGCCCAAGCATGACTGATGGTAGAAGTTCTGGCCATGGTGTTGGAGCATTGCACATGAGTGCAGCTTTCATCCCATTTGATTGAGGGTGGTACGATGTGGTGTGGATTTTCTTGGCTCCGACCATCCTGGCAAGTGCTGAGAAGAGTCTGGACTCAAACTGTGAGCCTTGGTCAGTTGTGATCTTGAGTGGAGTCCCAAACTGCGAAATCCAGTGAGTGTAAAATGCAGTGGCGATGGTGTCAGCTTCGATGTTGGCTAGAGGAACAGCTACAGACCATCGGGTGAACCTGTCAATCATGGTGAAACAGTAGCATAGACCTTTGATTGTGGGTAGCTCGATGATATCTAAGTGAACATGCTCAAATCGGTTGTCGGGAACATCGATGTGTGCAGGCTCGATGCGATTGTGTTGCTGGATCTTGAATTTCTGGCAGGGTATGCACTCTCGACACCAACGTGCTGCGTCACGCTTGATGCCGGGCCAGACGAATTTCTCTCTCAGCTGACGTATTGTCACTCGTCTGCTAGGATGTGCGAGAGAATACACGACCTCGAAGGCTTGTCTGCGGAGACTGGCAGGGATGTACGGGCGAACTCGTCCTGTAGATGTGTCACAGTAGATCAAATAATCCTCAACGATCAGTCGCTGGAGTTTGCAGGATGAGTTGTCAGGGTTGAGCAGACTCTGAAGTTTCTCGTCAGCATCTTGGGCGAGCTGGATGGCTTCGGAACTGAAGACTTTGGGCATGTTGATGGCGTTGATGCGTGATAGGGCATCAGCAACAACATTATCTCCTCCTTTTACGTAAACAATCTCCATTGTGTACTGTGCTATGTAGTTTAAGTAGTTCAGTTGTCTTGGAGATGCTTTCTCAGGGCGCTGAAAGAAGGCGTAGACGAGAGGACGGTGGTCTGTCTTGATGACAAACGGACGACCTTCGAGAATGTGTCGAAATGACTTGATGGCAGCGAAGATTGCTAAGAGCTCTCGGTCGTACGTGCTCCATCCTGTCTCCTGGGGGCTCAGTTTGCGAGAAAAGAAACCGAGGGGCTTCCAGGTGTCGTCCTCAAACTGTTCCAAAACTGCTCCAATGGCAGTACTTGATGAATCAGTTGAGAGTGCGATGGGTGCTGTTAACGAGAGGAAGCTAAGCCGAGTTGCTGAAGCGATGCTGGCTTTGCACTGATCGAAAGCAGCCTCTGGTTCTGTGGTCCAGGGAATCTTTCGCTTGTCATTCTTCTTCGACTCCTTGGTGAAGTCATTGAGAAGAGCTTGGTCATGTGCTGCATGTGGGATGCATCGTCGATCATAGTTGAGCATACCGAGGAATCTTCGAAGCTCAGTGACAGTCTCAGGCTTTGGAAACTCAACTATGGCTTCAACTTTGCTCTTAGGTGGAGAGAATCCATGACGATTTAGCTTGTACCCCAGGTAGACTACTTCTTCCTTGCCAAATTGGCATTTACTGGAGTTGATGTTGAGGTGGTTGTCTTGGAGGATCTTGAAGATGATCTCGAGGTGTTGATGGTGCTCTTCAGGGGTCCTGGAGAACACGATGAGGTCATCAATGTAGCAAGCTGCGAAGTCGATGTCTCTCAGGAGGTTGTCCATGTGACGCTGGAACGTTTGCGCAGCATTGCGCAGTCCTGGAGGCATGCCGAGGAACTCGAAAAGTCCGAACGGTCTTGTGATGGCCATTTTGGCGATGTCTTCTTAAGCTATCGGTATCTGGTGATATGCGCGTACGAGGTCAAGTGTTGTGAATACCTCGCAGCCACGGCAACGTTGTAGGACATCCTCGATGATGGGTAGAGGGTAACGATCAGGGATTGTGCGATGATTGAGACCACGATAGTCTCCTGTCGTTCGCCAGCCGCCAGTCTTTTTGGATACCATGTAGATAGGGCTTGCCCATTGACTGCTGGAGGGTCTGATAACCCCACAATCCAACAGGGACTGGATATCGTTACGTGCTGCTTGCAATTTCTCACCAACAAGTCGTCGAAACCGTTCAGCAACTGGAGGTCCACTGGTGACGATGTGATGAGCTACTGGACTGTCCAGTTGAGTTCTTGGAGCTGCTGGAGGCTTTGTGATGTCGACGAACTTGACAAGTAGTTGGCTAATCGCTGGAGAGAGAGCTGAGAGGTCATTGGTGACGGTGGAGACACTGAAGATGCTGGTCTCGTGGATCTCTCCAGGTGCTGTCAGGTTGGTTGTCGGGTCAATGAGTCGTTTGCCACGAAGATCGATGAGCAGACCATAGTGAGCGAGTAGATCTGCACCGATGATTGGAGTCTTGACGTTAGCAACAGTGAAATTCCACTTAAAGTCGCGTCGGAGTCCGATGTGAAGTGTGAGCAGCTGTTGGCCATAAGTGTCGATGACTGTGTTGTTGGCAGCAAACAGCTTGAGATCTGCAGGTTGAGATGTGCGATGACTCCAGGATCGAGGAACTATTGATATCACAGATCCTGAGTCGATTAGAAATCTTTGGCCTTTCGATTTATCAGAGACGAACAGGCGAAATTCTTTGATGGCGGCATTGTTATTTGAGTCTGAGCTGCCGCAGGCCGCCTGAACAGACGGCAGCGTCTCTAGTTTAACTGCTGCTGGAAATTTGAGTTGGAGCGTGTGCAAGGGGGGTGGCACTGACGAGCCCTGTCCCTAAAAGGCTCATGATAGAAGCAGAGACCGCTCTGGCCGGTGGGTGCAGGCGTGAGAGAGCGTGATCTCCTCGCGTTGGTCTGTCCTACCTTGGATGACAGCTGCTGAAGGGCATGGCACAGGGTCTCGATGGCTTTCTCAATAGCTCCAAGCCTCTGCTCGATGTGATCGTTAGACCTGTTGTGATTGTAGAGGTCTGCGGCTGCTGCTGGGCTCTGAGCCTTGAATGTATGCTGCTGAGAGTGCTGAGGATATGCTGCCATAACCTGAAAACCGGAGCTGTTCTCCATTGCTGTGTCAGCAGCTTCTACCAGTTGATCGAGTGTGCTGTTGGCCTGAACAACCTTGAGGATCTTGCTGACGATGTCAGGTAGCAGAGCTAGCCACCTGCTGCGGAGAAGCTCCTCAGAGACCTTCCCATCAGCCAGATCTCTCATTCTCCTCAATAGTTGACTGGGTTTCTGGTCACCAAGCCCAACTTCTGTCAAAAGTTTGTGGAAGGGTCGGTCACCTGACTCAGAAAAACGTTTGATAATTTGATCTTTAAGAAACCGGTACTTATCTCTGACTGGAGGTGCCTTGATGATATCAGAGACTTCTCGGAGGAATTTTCTGTCCAGTGCCTCGAGGACAGAATCGTACTTAGTGTTGTCGTTGGTGATGCGTCTGTTCCTGAACTGGGCCTCAATCTGCGTGAACCAAGCCACAGGATCCTCACTGATGAAAGGTGTGAGCTTGAAGTTCGACAGGGCCATGATCTGGAGATCATTGAGGGCCTGTTGGTTGACGAGGTTAACCCCAAACGGAAGATTGATGTTGGGATTTGCTGCACTTCCAGCTGGTGCAAACTCTCCGAGGAGGTTGTCGAGTCCAGGAATTTGGCCATCTTGTTGTTGGTGCGTCATTGTGGGTTATGCCAGTGGTATTGTTAAAAGAGGGTGTGACTGACCTGATGTAGATTGGATTTGTTGATCCTGAATTTGCTGACTCTGCTCGGGTTGACCCAGAGTCTCCTGAATCAGATCTCCGTACACCTGAGGTTGATTATTTTGTGCAGTTCCGTGTGGAGGTGTGCGCGGAAGCATCATCAAGGTGATTGGCGTCTGATGAGAGGCACGTGGTTTGCGAGGTTATTGCTTGCGTGAACGTAATCCGCCTAGATCACGTCGGGGTCACCAATTATGCAGATTATGAGGTCTCACATAAAGAAAGTAGAGATCTGTTTATCACAAACAACTTATATTTATTCAGTCCAATCAATGGATAATTAATAATGAATACAAAATATAAGACGCCACAGCTGTGGTGGGTTAGATGAGATACGATGAATAATAATAATAATTCGGATGATTTCGTGAAGCTTCGCTAGCCCGATCGCGGGACTAGTATCTGTTTGCGTCGTTGGCGCTGAGGACGAGCTCCGTCGATAACGCTGAGTTCTGGTTGAGCCTCAGCCGCCACACCGAAAATGAGTTTGGCGCCATCTATTATGACATGCGCAGGTCATATTATTGACCGAGCATTGAGGCGGATGCACAATATTAATAAGAACAAATATCAAGCCCATTTTTCGTTGTGCGTTGACCTATTTGACTGCAATGCTTGAAATTTCATTGCATATAACCATTTTTTTTATAACGAAAAACTTGCAATCCATTTTTTTTATTCCAATCTTCCGCCAATATCATTCTTTCTCTCTTTTCTCATAACTTTCTCTCTCTTCTCATGAAAACATTCACATGAGAATGGGGCTGTCGCCCGCCGCCATGACACCAAATGCATGCCTTCTGCCATGACAGTTTCCAATGCATGTTTTTTTTTCAAAGCAAACTGAACTCACGAATATTCGGGAGTTCAATCGTCAACGTAAATCAATCTTAATACTTATTTTGTATCATCTTCGTAATTTCTACATAATTAAACCGTCTCGATAATTATGGGTTAGTTTAAATTAATAAACACCTCTTTTCTCACCAAGTAATACCATATTCCAGTATCTACCCACTGTAGGGAGATTTATCTCCAAAAAGCGGAAACCAGGGATTCATCCTTAACAACATTCACAAATATCTCATGAACTTAAACGAAATAACTCCAACAAAGAAAGTCTGTTCGACACCGAATAAATCGTGAAAGAACATAAATGAAGCAACGAACGCGAACTCACGTGAACGAAAAGAACAAAACGAGAGTTTCAATGGATCTAATACATAATAACTCGAAGGGAAAATCGTTTATTGGGCGGACAAAATCTCATCTCAAAAACTAAAATGAAACAAATCAAATCCAAAGTCTCTCGCGAGACATAACTCAACCACCCTAACATGCGTTCGAGCCGCCAGAGATCAGAGATCCTGCCATTACAAAATCAAAACTTACAAGGAATACTAGGTAGGTGTCCGCCTCCGATTTTGATGAAGTTTATACGGGGTGTTTCAGAAGTACATGTACATCTGAACACCCTAGGATCAGGGGGTGATTCTGAGCAGAAAAGTCCTCTTGCACTTTTTGATCAGACTCACCCCTAAAAAGTTATTGGCAGTTAAGGGTGGGCCAATGGGGAGTGATTTTTAAGCGGGCGCACATCCATGTGATATNATCAACCGATCGTCTTTCCATTGGTTACAGCGTCGAGTGGCGCGGTGAACGCGCGTCTCGGTTGAAAATTCATCCCTCCCCCCCGAAATATAGCTAAGGAATGAAACTTGTGTGACCTATTGAGTATTAAATGCTCAATTCAATGACATGGGTTTCATCCCTTAGCGCCTTTTGGGGACGGAGGGGTGAATTTTCGAA